AGAAAAGTCATAAACTGTTTCTCCCATGAACATTTCAGATGTAAAGCTGGACACAGATTGAAACTCTTGGATGCAAAGACAGCTCTCATTTTTTTAGCAGTGTGAATATTGTGATGATAAATGATGGAATTTCCTGTCTGTGCGTGGGTGTGGGTCTAGATTCCTCCTTCTGGTGGGCTGCGTGATGAGCCGCTCAGCTCGGCAGTGCTGGGGCCACTCATGGCGTTGCTGGAAGACCTTGATCCTGCAGTGAACCGTGCTGGTGGTGGTGAGACCTGAGTCCTGCAAAGATACCTTGTAGGGAGCCATTGCTTCCTTGCTTGCCCATGCACATCCATGCTGGTGCTGACGCAGCATGAGCTTCACTGTTTCTTTTCCCCATTAACAAACCCTGGGCCCAAGGTCCTGCATTTCTGTTGCACAAACGAGCAAATGCATGACATGCTGAGCATCTCAGGAGCCCAGCTGCTTGTTGTTCACAGCACTAAATACTTCAGTAGCAGCGACCTTGCTGTTGATTTCAGCAGGACCTGGGAACCTTCAGGAGTAGGCTGGACCTACCTGAGCCATGTGTGGTTATCACAGAGGGGAGCAGGCAGATGAGTCCTTGTCCCAGACTTCCAATCACTTCCAGCAGGTCCATGTAATTTAAATACAGGTTAGGCAAATAGTTTTGGACTTCAGAAGTGTCTTGCCCTGCTCCAGCTATCAGGCCCTTGAGCACATGTGCAACCCCTTGAGCATTTGCCACAGTCCAAAGGCTGGTCCAGTCAATGGACTCATGTTGCATCAGCAGGAAGGTGACACGCAGTGGGGGGTCATTGCTATATCTCCGACAGGACCTTTGCCTCTGACACCCCCACGATGACAGGGTCCTTCACTGAGGGGCTGGGTCTCACATGTCCCAACTCTAGCCTTGCTCCCAGGGTGCTCCTCAGGTGCTTGGGGCATGGCAGCCCCCCTCCTGCTTCGTGCCCTCCGTTCTGTGATGGACACGGTCACTGAGTGTGGGAGGTGACTGCCACTGGACGCCAGGGCTGATCTCTTCCAGGACTTCAGGCTCTGTCCTAGGCACTGTCCCCAGCTCCATACTTCTGCCCCGGGCTACTTTGCAGGGGTGGAAGTGCTTGCATGGTGATGAGACACCTGGACCAATGAACTAATCTAAAATTCACACGCTAAAAGAAAAACTGTCTTGTTTTACTCCACCTCCATTGCCTGACCCACTGTTCAGAGAGAAAAGCAAATTAAATTGGGTCTTGAATGACAAGGAGGCAGGAGAGGTGCCAGAGGATGACACCTGGGTACAGACAGGCCCCTGGTAAGGGATGTGTATTGGCAGGCATGTGGAAGTAGAAGGATTACATGGGGAGCCCTGGGCACAGTCAGGGGAAGGTGGAAGGGCTGGATGAGGCTCAAAGGAGAGCCTGAGGGTCTGTGCAAAGCAGCACAGCATCAGCCCCTTCTGTGCACGTAACTTCAGAGGCTGCAAAGCCTGCAAGGAGCTCCACGTCCATACTGCCCCTCTTCGACAGTTCTAGACCCCGGGGCCGGCCTGACACCTGCCCACTGGTGAGGAATTGGGGCTTGGTGAGGGATAGTGGCCACCCCAGAGGGGCTAAAGGGGGGACCTGCCTCCTGCCAGGCTCCTGGGGACCACCTGGACACAGCTGAGGCCAGGCCTTTCCTCCAGCACAGAAAAACCTGAGACTAGCCATGGAGTGGGAGTTCAATCTGACTCTTGGGATTTATTCTTTTTTTTCTTTCTTTTTTTTCTCTTTCTTTACATATTTATTAAAAATCCAAACCTTCTTGGGACTTCCCTGGCCAGATCTTGGGCATGGCAAAGGCTCTGAGCTCTTCCTGGCTTGAGTCTGCCCCAGCACGGCGCTTGGTGGCATTTCCCACCCCATCTCCACATTTGGCTGGCTCCTGATTCCTCCTCCAGCACAAACTGTGCTTCAGAGGGGATGCAGACAGGACACCTGCCACCAGCAAAGGCTGAATGACCTCCATGGCTTCCCTGCTTCCTGGAGGAGCAATGCCCTGGCAGATTTTGTCCATGCAGCACAGGGACATGGTTAGGATGTCCCCAAGTCTGGCAGGTTGTTGGCAGAGCAGGTCACTGCTCTTCTGAGCCAGCAGGAAGAAAATCCATGCCCTAGTCAGGGTCTGGCCAGGCTGCTGCAGGGCATGGCCATTGATTTTGCACCAGACAGGGTTTTTAGCTTTTTAACTGTTTGCAGTGATGCACCACAGGAGAATGGCAGCTGAAGAGTAATTTGTGTCACTGCTTATTCACCTGTGCTGCTGTGAGTGCAGCCCATGTGCTCCATGCTGTCCCCTTGGCACGGCTCTGCCATGCTGGGAAGGGCCATGGGGTGACGGCAGGGTGGGGTCCCTGTCCCTTGCGTGCCTGGGCAGAGCAGCTCTGCTCCAGGGTGGGTGAATCCCTCTCAGAAACAGTCCCGGTGTCTCCCACTTGCCTGCTCCTCTGCAGACTGAATTCTGGCCCTGGTGGTGTGGGCTCCTGCAAACCGAAGATAAATCCCCCCTTGGTGATGTCTGGTGGGGGGCATCACCCTCCCAATGGGGAGCCCACAGGACCTCTCGGTGCTTGCAGAGCTGGGATGTGGCACAGGGCCGCGGGTGGGAAGGAAAGGGGAGCAAGACCTGCTGCCCTGAGAGGTGTCCCAGGAGCGGTGCCTGTCCTGGGCGAAGGGTAGGAACTCCCCATTCCTGCGCCTCCGGGCTCCGGACCCCAGCCTGGGAATGGGGCAGGTCTGCGGCTTTTCTCTACTCCACGTCACTTTTTAGAGAACCTTCGAGGGGCCGTTCAGGTGGGTCTGGGGACTTCCCGCCTGGGGCACGTCAGGGCTCAGCGCTGACTGGACGGTCCTTCTGGCCTCGGTTCCCCTCGCAGCATGGTTTCACCTGACCGTCCACAGAGGCCCCGGTGCAGCCTTGGGGTGCCCTCAGCGCCTCTCCCTGTAACCCAAAGGAGCCGCTGCTCCACGGGGACCTGCCCCGGCCCTGCTGCCGCAGCCAGAGCTGCCCCGGGAAGCCCAGGGTGAAGCACCACCCGTGGGCCCCTGGCTGGTGTCATCCGTGGGTGCCCACGGCTCCGCAGGACACAGCGGCTCCCGGTGTCCTCAGGCTGGGGACTG